AAAAAACTACCTTTTTTTTTTCCCCTTAAAAGATTCACTCCAATTGGAGCAAATGGTAAGACTGGTCTTCACTTAAAAGTTCCACCAACTTTCAGGTAGGAATAGTCTTAGCTAAATGAGTAGCAGCATATCTTTCTGTGTGATTAGTTTATGTACTTACATTCACCTAGTTTTTATTCCCAAGCAGGAATAAGCTATACCAGAACAAGAAATTATATTCAGTGATACAACTACTCTAAAAGCCTTCATCACTTCTACAAGAAAAACACCATCCTTTAGCATAAGCATGTTCTGAGTAAGATACAATGCACAAAAAGATGTGGAAGAAGTTTACCTCGAGTAATGAAAATTTGGGTCCCTACCTTCTATGCTTGTATTCATGCCACATTTGAAACCAACCCCCCACATAAGTGGCTGCACATGTTTGACACACATTCTGCAACTGCTTTCTTGAGAATCAGAGGGACTTAAAACTCTTACTTCTCCCACAGACAAAGAAAAAAGCCAAACAGTAAGCAAAGTGAAGGAAGGTTACTTGGCAATTCAGTAAATCCTTTTTATATCTGATACTTTGCTTACATACCTTACAGACACGCTGTATCTAAGTTACAGTGCAAGTAACTCTGGGTAAACAGCATACCTGTTGTGAAACCTCTGGAACACCTTCAGCACCCTATACTAGCAATTGTAATGCAATTTGTGTAATACTCATCTCTCCATTTTAAATTGCTCACTCCATTTCAGATTTGTTTTGCACTTTCTAGTTAGTCCTAACAGTATACCTCATCAAGGACTGGGAGTAAGCTCTCCAATTTATGATCAATTCTGGCTAGTGCTTAATAGATTCAAGCAAACGCAAGTATTAAAAGAAGATTCACTGAAAGTATTTCCTTACTGTCACTGCAACTACAGAGTGTTGTCTCATGCCATTAAAGAGGTAGAATGTGTATAGGCGTAGATAAGAAATGTCAAGGCTATGTTAGGGATCACATCTGTATCCTAGCTGAAGACAGACACTACTTCTTTTGAATTACTTCTAAAGATTTGGAATGAGCCTGCCTTACTTAAGCCACATGTCCCAGAATCTGCTTTCCCTCAAAGCATTTGGGCAGATGGCTGATTAAAGAACAGTTTTGTGCATTGGGACATTCTAATGTTAGAAATCATACGCGATCTTGTTACTAACAGCAAAGAGACATTAGAAGCACCACTTATTATGGCTGCACTGCATAAAGAATGCCTTTGCCTTAAACCAAACTATTATTCAAGGAACCTGATGTTACTACCTTAACTGTTTTTCCGTCTTCACTTTGGTTAACTGTAAGTCCCTAAGATGGAAGGAAGCAACACCCTCGGTAATTGTCCATACTGCTGTGCAATGCACATTATCCAACTATAGGCAAAGCCTTTTTCAGCTATTCAGGTCAAACGTGTTTTAAGAAGCCTTTTAATATATATATATAGTAGGAACACACTTCCGTTCTCAGATTTCTGCAGGTTCAGTTTGGACTTGGGCAGTACTGTAGCTCAGGTTCACTGGCAAAAGCAAGCCTCTTTCAACTGCATATGTTCAGTCACAATAGACCAAGAAACTATTTTTAATATGCTTGTATGCTCTCAAGCATCTAACCAAGATGTGAAATTTTGTCTTATGTTGCTACACATATTCAACAAGCACCAAAAGACACCATTCTTTAATAATGCCTCAATATAATTTCTTCAAAAGGTAGTGAGCACCTTTCTAGTAATCAATAGGTGTTTACTTTTAGTGCAAAGTAAAGTCCTAAGTATTTTAAGAGTTACCAGCTCCCCTTATTCCTCCCTCACTCTCTCAAAGTTACGCTGGAAATGCAAGACTAATCCAGCCACAAATTCACATCATTAGTCTATCCCCACATTCTTCAGGTAAGTTTCAGCTTTGGGTAATTCCATAAATTTTTGAAACAAAATGTTTCTCTACATTAGCAGTCATCAATCCATTATAAAGTTAGCAGTAACTGCTACAGAACATTCCTAAAAATCTTCCAAAGTACTATTAGGTTGGTAGTGAATAAGCCAGGCGTACCATAATACAGTAACAGCTCAACAAGTTAATGAGTAACAGCAGCAGGTAGCAGAGGAGTAATACAATCATTGAAGAAGTGAAATAAAGTACCCTGCAAAGATGAAAGCAGCAGCCCACAAGACTTAATCTAGTTTTACACTGATGACATACAAACTCTTTTTTCCAGATACAAGCAGCCTGGAGGTTTTTTGTCAATGTCAGTAAGCTCATTCCACAGCTCAAGTACCAGTTTACTCAAGCCCACATAAAAATTGACTTCCATGTGTAAAGTCTCATGTATAGACATGTGTGTTTGGTACAACTTGCCCCAAAGAAGCGCTGTGAGATAAACTATGTTTGTAATTAGAATTCAGAGACTGGATACATTGGCATATCAGTAAGGCTGCATAGTAGAAGTAGCTTACTGTAGAAATTTCTATGAGAAGAAAAACACTAATATGAAGGAAAATACCTATAAAGTATGAAACTCGAGAGATTAGAAACATGTAGAGATGGAAAAGCACAAAAGCCTAGAAGGAAAGCAAGAATATCTGCTGGAGATCTTACTGGGCAGGGAAAGCAGAGAGTTTAAACTCAGTATATTAGCAGAGATGAAGGGCCTTGGCACAGCAAAGACAAAACCAGTTTTCACCCATGTGATATTCTTATCTTTAAGAACGTAGGGGTTTTTTTTATACCAATAGCCAATGGGAAAATAGAAGCCAACTGAAGGAACATGTGGGAAGGGACAGGGAAACAAGCAAAAAAATCTGAATAATCAGTCCACAGCACAGCCAGTGACATAGGCTAACAGGAGTCCTCATTCTGGAGTCAGGTGCTGCATCTAATCCACTGAAGGAGTCCAGGATTACCTAAATCTACTTCACACACACCAGATATGGTACTTACTTTTGGGTCCATCCTCCAAAGACTGATGATAAACCAGAAAAAGGACTAACACCAATCATGGAACCTGACTTCACGGTCTTGCTCTTGCACATCCCAGTGACACATGATGTAACTTGGCACCAGTAATGGAACACAGAAAGCAATCAACCACCCAAACAGGAACCAGATGTGTAAATCCAAATCTATTCACAGACTGAAATACAAGCTTCAAATCTAAATCCTTTACAAACTCCTGCGTCCGCATGATCAGAAGCAAAAAAAAACCTATCAGTCAGGGGATGATCCTCATTGAGAAAGTTCAAGAATTAAAGATAACATGAGAAGAAAAAAAACAAAAAAAACAAACACACCAAACAGTCCTGCAAGCCTGCTACCTTTTTTCTTTGGTTATTCTGAATTAGTTCCGGGATTTGTAAAGATCTTTGTTTACTTCTCCCACAAGAAATACAAGTTAATCTGTTAAGATTAAACATAAACAAACAAAAGCACTACAGAACAGCTGACCCATACTACTAGAAACTCTCAGAATACAGAGCACTTGACATAGTTGCAGTTCATCCCAGAACATGACCAGCACTGGAAGAAAAAATATTGCTTCCTTAATCCATATTCATCAAGCAAACGAATTTACTAGCCAGTCAGTAGAACAAGCTCTAAGCAATGTCTAATTCTAAAGGATTAATCAGTTAAATCGGTAAAAAGAAAGAAACAGTACAATGAAACAGAAACCTACAAACTTTTGCTGTTCATCATCATAACTTTGCAACCTAGTACAGAATTACCACTTGACAGGACTGGGCATCTGAATCTTCTCTGGTCATCTCATAAAGCTGCTTGATACTTCTGTCAGTCCCCTGCCTGCCAGGCAAAGACATTTTCAGTCTCACAGATCACAACTGGAAGTTCTTGATTGCTACAAAATAGCGGTCAGCAGAAGGACACCTATGCTCCCCTCTTCACTCCTGCAGCTGGTACCTTTCCACAGTGGCAGCAACTCAGCATTTGTCAGCCTTGATGAATTCACTACAATTAAGTTTTTGAAGAGTTAGCATCAGGTAAACCAGGTATCTGTCAAATTATACTTTATGCCTAGGCCTGGCCGTGAAGTTGCACATATTATCCTCATTTCCCCTCCCCACCCCACAGAAGTAGACACAAAGATGAAGCAAAGCTAGAAGACAACTAGTCTGGTTACAGAGCACATCACTTGGTCATGCAATTTCTGAATGATATTATGGCACTCTGCTATTACTCTGGAGTCCATTTTTATCAAAAAATTTGAGAGCTCCACTTTTGTATCTCACAGAACACAAACCTGACTACCCAAGATTTAGAGCCTTGTCCAAATACCTAATGCACAGACACTGCCCCTATATTCTAAGAATTAAGGCAAACCAAAGTACCCTAAGCAGTCACAACCTATCCGTTGACTAGATGAGAGTTTCTGCACACTGAGGTATCAATGACCACCTGTAGCTTTTCAAACATTTCCACCACCAAGAAGCCACACGCAACCTAGCAATCACTCACTTAAGTCATTAACTTTAGGCTGCACTGGATTCCCAGCAGAGTCTCTGACAGAAGTCACTGTGTTCCAGACTAGCCCATGGAAATCTCAATTTCACTTCAACCAGCCCTTCACCTGACAAACTGCATACTCCTAATTTGCTCACCCAGCGACACAAGGCGTAACCCCTCAGGCAACGAGGCACAGTCAGCATCAGGCACTTGCCCCACATTTACTCTGCTGAAGTTCACCTTGCCTTCGGACAGAGGTCACCTCTGCCCAGGAGCACGGCAAACTGCTGCAGGCTGAATCCACAGCAGCCAACCGCCGACACCAGCCCTCACGCCGGGCAGCGCTCCCCACCGGCACAGCCACCCCACCCCCTGAGAGGGCGGCTGCCCACAGCACCCACGGTGAGGGTGGCGGCATCCCCCCCCTCCTCCCGCCACTGCCTCCCCCACGGGCGCTCCCACGCCAGCCAGGGCGCTTGCGCCCCCACCCCCTGAGAAAGGGTCGGGGGAGGGGGAGGCGGCCCCTCACCTGGAGGAGCACGGCCAGCAGCACGCACAGGTACACCTGGTAGGGCCCCATCTGCCCCACCAGCGGGAACGCCTCCTCCACCTCCATCCCGCTCCCCGCCCGCCGCGCGGCTCCTGCGAGCGGCCGCCGAGCAGCGCATCCCCGGCCCGGCCCGGGGCGGGGCGGGGCGGGGCGGGGAGCGGCGGCCGGGCGCTCGCAGCAGCGGCGGCGGCCGGAGCAGGGAAGGGCGTGAGGCGCGAGGCGGCGCCCATGCGCAGGCGCCGTCGGGGCGAGGCCGGCCCAGGGACGCACGCGCAGCGCGCAGCCCGCCGCCGCCGCCCTCCCGGGAAGCGGAAACGGAGCGGCCGGCGCGTTGCAGTTGCGAGCGGCGGCGCACGCGCGCCTTCCTGATTTTAAATAGCGGGCGAGGGGGGGTGGGGGGGCTGGGGAGGGGGGCTCGCGCGCTCCTCGGGCTGCCGTTGGCCACCAGCGGGGAGAGGGGGGCGTGTGGGAGGTGTGTGTGGGGGGGGTGTCCGTGCGTGGGGTGTCCGTGCGTGGGGGCTGCGAGGGGTGCGGGTGGGGGGGTTGTGAGGGGGCTGCGAGGGGTGAGGGTGGGGGGGTTGTGAGGGGGCTGCGAGGGGAGCGGGTGGGGGGGTTGTGAGGGGGCTGCGAGGGGTGCGGGGGTTGTGAGGGGGCTGCGAGGGGAGCGGGTGGGGGGGTTGTGAGGGGGCTGCGAGGGGTGAGGGTGGGGGGATTGTGAGGGGGCTGCGAGGGGTGCGGGGGTTGTGAGGGGGCTGCGAGGGGAGCGGGTGGGGGGGTTGTGAGGGGGCTGCGAGGGGAGCGGGTGGGGGGGTTGTGAGGGGGCTGCGAGGGGAGCGGGTGGGGGGGTTGTGAGGGGGCTGCGAGGGGTCTTGGGGGGGTTGCATGAAGGGCTGTGAGGAGGGGACGGGGACTGTGAGCGGGGGGTTTGCGAAGGGGGGGCGTGAGGGGTGTCGGGGAGGCAGCGCCCAGGGAGATGCCCTGGGCGGCCGGGCTGCTTACCCCGGGTGGGCGCGGGGCTGGGGGGGTGGGTGCTAGGCGGAGGGGGGGGGTGTTCCTCCTGAGGTGCAGCGGCTCTGGTCATAGTTGTTTGGAAGGGGTGGGGGAAGCAGGCAGTGTCCCTGGACCCTTGGTTAGACCAAAGCAGGGCACTGGCCCTGCGGGCTTGGCAAGGAATCTGCGCTGGGACCATGCTGGCAAGGTGGTTCTGGGTTTTATGGCGTTCTCCATCTGGCAAATTAGCTCTGATCCAGCTTCCTCGTAAGAGCACAGCTAAGTTACCAGTCTGCGCTCGGCAGGCTTGCACCTTCATTGAGCAGCGTTAGCCCCGTGTCTGGGAAGCTGTACCCACGTAACGCACGCTGCTTAAGTTCTGTGAATTCATGCAGGACCCCTAAATGCTGACACCTCAGGTGTGGAATATTCCGTAATTATACTTCATAGTGTACCTGCTGATGGTCGAAAAAAAAACAAATTTGGCATGAGACTAGTATGTCAGTGCCACTTGAAGCCCGCTTCCCTCTTCACACTAGAGTTCAGTTCTGGACCTGTGCAAATCTTGCTGTTCTTGATATAATGCCTAGTGAGGACATGCCTCTTTCTGTTACAGCAGTCTTCATAAAACTGTAGTTGTAATATGTTTTATGAAAAGTATGTGCCATTTATTTGGAGAGCCTTTCTTGTGAACTTGTGGTAGAAGTTCTCACTTAGAAGTAATGGGAGTGGTTTGTGAAGGAACGTGAACTCCAACAAGTAGGAAGGGAAGGGAGATAAATCCATGTGTGAAACAGTAATATTAGTGCAAAGTGGCAATGAGCTTTTCACAGTCTATTTTCATTCCACCTTTACAATAAAGATCCAAGAACATGAAATAACTTAGATTGTTGAGACCATTTTACCTAGTGATGCCAAAAAGCAGCAGCAACATCTTTATGCTTATGGCTTTTATTGTATGAACAACAGCTGGAGAGAAAGGAAGAGTTGTGTTGTGAGATGTGACCTTTAGGACCATGCCAGGAGCCTGGGAAATAATACCGTTTCCTTGCTGTAAAAATCTTGGCAAATTGACAAGCATCAAAGCAATTTTCTCTTCATATGAAATTCACCTTTGCCCTAAGCACTTCTTTTCACATTTGAGGCTTAGTACAGATTGATTAAAGGCAAAACAGCAAAGGATTTCTGAAATGTCAGGACCTTTCTGGTGTTCACCCAACCGCACTTGTCTCATTATATTACTTGGCCAAGATGCGGAGGAGGTGTCCCGATGCTCTGGACGCTCTGCGTCCCCGTCCCCTGCACCCTTCCCGCCCTCCCAGTCAGTTCAGCTGCGCTCTGTGCCAGCCGCTTACTCCCGCTTGCCCAGCACCGGGGAGGGCTGTGGCCTTTGCCGTCACCCCTCAGCCCCTCCTCGACTCTGGAGTCGGGGTGAGCAGGGTTGGGGGAGGAGGGCAGTGGTACTTGCTCCCTGTCGGGAGGGTACTGCCTCCCAAATCGCTGTGTTCCCTTCAGCCCTCTGTCACTCCTCTGCCTTCTTGCTTGGGACCTGCAGCACCCCTGCCTGGGAGCTTTCCCTCCTGCTCCCGTACAGCCACCCAAGCTGCAGGCCCTGCCCGCTGCCTGGGCAGCAATTGGAACTCCTGTCACGGCTCTGCTGAGAGAACGCCTCCGACTCCCACAGCCTCCGGTCGCGACCCCACTGAAGTTACCGGGTTGGCTCTAGGCATGTCCATACCACGCAGCAACGCCCTACCCCCGGGGACAACAGCCATCGGGGAGCTGTCTCCTCTTGTGTGGGTGCTCCCCAAACGGAGTCCAGCGGAGGACCATGAAGATGATGAAGGGACTGGAGCATCTGCCATGTGAGGAGAGGCTGGGAGAGCCAGGACCATTCAGGCCACAGCAGAGGAGGCTCAGGGAAGAACTTCCCAATATCTGATGGGAGGGAATGAAGAGGAGGAGTCTAGGCTCTTCTTAGTGATGCCTATCAACAGGACAAGAGGCAGCAGACACAAATTAAAAACCGATGAATCTCAATTTGAATACAATACATGTATTATTTATTTATTTATTCCCCTGAGAGTGGTCAAATGCTGGAACAGGCTGCCTAGACAGGTTGTGGAGTCTTCATCTGTGGAGATATCCAACACCCAGCAGGACACAGTCCTGGATAACCTGCTCTAGCTGACCCTGCTTGAGCAGAGGGGGTGGACTGGATGATCTCCAGAGGTCACTTCCAACCTCAACCATTTTATGATTCTGTAGTTTGCACGTACCACCTATGACTGAGCCTCTCATATTCCCACTTTATTCTAAACCTTACAAATTTTGGTCACACCACCAAAAATGCCTGATTTTAGTCAGGATTTGGCTTTTTAATTTTTGCAGTGAAACCTGAGCATTGGCAGAAAGGGTGCTGCTTCAGGGTCAGCCTGAAGGCTGGGACTTGGCAGGAGTGTATCTATGGGACACTGACCAGGGGTAAGAAACAAGGAACCCAGGTGGAGTGTCACAGGAGGAGAGGAAGGACTGGCTGGGTGACGTAAAATACCCATTAACCATCACCGTGAACCCCAAACATGCAGGTCACCTCATGTCACATTCTGCAATGACCATGCAATGAATTTAGAGGAAAACAGGCATTTTCATTTTCCTGATTTTCACTGACAATGAAAGGTGTCTGCTCTGTGAGGCTGGTGGTTTTGGAAAGGATTGGGTGCAATGTTTGGAGGTTTCAGCATTCTGTCAACATGATGATAGCACTGGCCTCCAGTTGGCCAATGATCTCACTGGAGCCTTCATGTCTTCCCAGAGTATTATTATCTGTGAAGTTCATTAATGTGCAATTTTCTCTCTCCTCCTCCTCATTAATAACCACATGTCAAATAAGAATAGTCTTAACAATCCTGTCTGTGGGGAATTTTTCTTTTAATGAGAGCGATTCAAGCTTCTTACTCAGACATAAACATCATATCCCCTAGGTTTTCCCACATCGCTCCCACCCTCCCCCCTGTTACTACTGCTTCATGGTTTTGTTGCTCTTTAGAGGCTTACATGTCAAATTCATGTGGATACCCCAAAACTGAGACACTGCATGGCTTCTTTTTCAGACTTTCTGAAATAATAGTTCCATATATGTTCAGCCCCTTTCTGTCTGTCTGTAATGATGACCCAGAGCATTCAAAGCACTAGATATATGTAAATGCTAAGGGATAACCCTAAGTTAAGTTCCCCTCTGGAAATAAATAAATAAATAAATAAATTAATTAAAAAAAAAAGGTTAAATCAGGTATTTTATGGCTAAAAACTCATTCTGGTTCATTGGCATTGTGTTCCTGGATTTGCTGTATTTGTTTGTAGTAGATTCTGGCACAGCTGTTAATTTTGCCTTTGAATCGCAACCAATAATAGTTTGAAAAAAGACCTTAAAATAATTGCTGATGCTCCCACCTTCTAGGTGGGGATTTCTCACCCACTGAAAGGGTGCCCATGCAAATCGTTGATTCAGCACTTGGTACAGTTGAGATCTAAAGAAGGTCTGTTCCTGGTGGAGAAAGTTTCAGTTTGTCCATCATTGGATGTTGTGGGTAAGCTGTGAAACTCCTTAGCCCAGGCTGCTGTGGACGCCAGAAGATCAAATGGGTTCAAGTGAACGCTCAACAACTACACAGAAGGAAAGTCCACTGAGGTTTATCTAATGCAAAGAGGAAACACCTTTGGCTCCGGAAAGTTCCCAAGAGACAAATTGTTCAGAGCTGATATCTGGAGGAAATACTTACCCTCTCTTCTTATACTCCTGCTTAGGCATCAGCTTTTGGCTACAGCAGGAGATGGGATTTGAGGCAAAAATGTTATTTGCTCTTGTGCTGTACGACCACTTTTGTAATCTTGCTCTTCCTCAGGTTCCCATCCCGTCCTGATGTCCATCCCCTTAATTCACAGGTTTCTACCACATCAACTGAGCTGAATGCTGGATGGTGAATGACTGAGCTCTGACTGGGGCTATGAGAATGGCAGCTGCAGGAAGAGGTGGTGGAAATCTCTTCCATAAGAATATAAAGGGGTTATTGTTCATAAAAACAGTTGCTATTAAACATCCCAGGAGCTAAAGGAAGGTTCCTCCTTTAGGATGAAAATAAAGCAGAGGTTCACTTGCTCTGTTAGCTTCATCTGATCCATAGCAAGAT